TTTAATTTGAAAATCAATCGGTGTTCAGTAAAGAAATATTTAAACGTTTAAGAGCGGCTTAGACGCGCCCCAATATTAACACTTAACTGATTCTTTGAGAATCACAAAAATACCAAATCAAGTTAAAAAATTTCAGTAAGTTATTTAAATAGATCCAAAAATAGTGTTTTGACTTTTCGAATGCTCTCCGAACGGGTGGTTGGTGTAGAAATTTATTTAACTATGTCTCACATTGACTAAAGGTGCAAATTTGTACCTTAGAATAAATTAAAGAGACTCCTTCATATATATTTGACTATTACGAAAGGGATTAAACTACTTGTACGCACAAAGTGAATACCTTGATGAAACCCCGTTATGTGTCAAAAATCTAGTAGTTGATTGAAAAAGGTGTTCTCAAAGTCAATATACCAAAATTTGCTAACTCATATTTGTGCAAACAATTGTGTCAACATTTATATACATGTAGCATGCAGTGGCGGACACACGGTTCGGTTTGGTTTAAAACCGAACCAAACCCGAATTTTTGAGTATTTAGTAAATGGAACCGTCGGGTCCAAATTTAGTTATGGAATCATTCGAGTTCGATTTGGTTCGGCTCTATTCCGTTCTCAAATTTCGTACAATAATTAATTATTTTATATTATAACAACGCTACATTAATTCGACTATGACATATTCAATCTTAACTCCTACAAAATAATGTAGTCCAATCTCGCGATATCTTTTGCACCTCTCTTTGTTGAGTTTTTCATAGATTTGACTGTAAAAATCACATGAAGAGGAAGATGGTGAGTTCACAATAATAGAACGACATAAACGATACAACGGTATAATAAGAGATTTGGGTAAAACTTAGCTCAATTTGATTAAATTGGGCTTGACTGGAAATTAGAAAATAATAAAATCATATTTTAGGTTTGGACTAAATTAATTAGTTAGCAAATTTATTTTAAAAATAAAATAATTTGACTTATTTAAGATAAAAAATTTAAAAAAATAGGGAGATTCGGTTCTTGGTCTAGAACCGAGAATCGAACCGAACCTGTCAGTTCTCGATTCTGATACCTGATAAGTGCGTTTTGTGCACT